TGCCCTCTGGGATGCCTTTTTTCTCACCTGAGACTGGAGCATGGAGAAAGGGAAGGAAGGGCAGTTCACCAGTTCCTTCTGGAACAGCTCTGTAGTTAAAACCAGAATTTTCTCCATCTCTCTCACACCCCTGTTTCCCTGCGTGGGGAGACACAACTGCCGGTCTGGCTCCTGCCACCTTCAGTAGCTAATGATCAGAGAGATTTTGTTTTAAACTACCATGGGCCCAAAGTTCCATTTTGAAATGTATTTACTTTGTACGAATAGCTGTAAATGATTTAAAAATAAAACTGTAAAATATTTGTATGAAGAATAAATGGAACTGTGAATGAAGAAAAAAAAAAAAAGGCAATGGATGCCTGGCCGCTGGCGAGGGCTGGACTCTGAGGAGCCCTGATGGCTGCTGGAGTCCTCACAGAGGGAGCGAGCGGCAAGCGTGGGTTAGGTGCACGCTGTTATCAACGCTTGTGTCTCATTATTTAAGACCCGACCCAGCTGCTTCTCAAACCGTAAGCCAAAAATCTGATGGCAGATCCCGATAGCTCACGGTCATTTCTTGGGAACTAGAAGGTGTTGGCTGGAAGCTGGTGCTGCTGTGTCATGGTCAAAGCATCCACCAGTTCAAGTCCCAGCTGCTCCATTTTATCCGGCTCCCTGCTAACAGCCTGTGAAATCATGCAGCCAAAGATCACCCAGGTGCCTGGGTCCCTGCATCTGGGTGGAAGATCTGGAAAAAGCTCCCAGCTTCCGAAGCAGCCATTTGGGGAGTAAAAGCATGCATGAGAAGTACTGTTAGTTTTACCTTTCAGATAAATAAATATTTTAAAACAAAAACAAAAAAAAAATAGACCTTTTGAAAGAGTGATAGCAAACAAGTGAATGGCCAGCAGCTGGAGCACTCCCCATCCAGGTGGCTGCAGCAGCCTGGGGGTGGGGGAGGTGGGGAGGGTGGGGGAGGTGGGGAGGGTGGGGGTCGGGGGGAGGGGTCGGGGGGGAGTGCAGGGCCAAGGCCAAGCCTGGAACCCCTGCAAGTCTCCCTGTGTGTGGCAGGGACCCAACTCCTGCAGCAACCCCTCGCTGCCTCTCAGGGTATGCCTTAGCAAGAAGCCAGCTCAGGTGTGAACTTGGAACCTAAACCCAGGCTCAACCATCCGGGCCATGACACCCACCCAAATCACACAGGCAGATAACTACTATAGAACGCTCAGGAAGACTCCAACACGGCACCGAGTCAAGTCTTTCACTCTCGCGGTGCAGTGCCAAAGGTCCACCACCGCCAAGCCCTGTTCCCTCTCGGCTTCCATGCCTGCCTTCTCTTCCCATCAGACGCAAGAGTGCCAGGGTCTCTCCCCCATCTGGACACTCTTCCAGCCAGCTCCACCGCACTTGCACTCCAACTGCCCCACACCCAAGGAATCCCAGCAAGCGCTGATGCCCTAGCCCTCCCTGGGATGGGGTCCTTATTAGCATCCTCAAGTCTTCCTGGGTGCTCCTTCGGAGAGCTGCAAACAAATCTGCACCCGCGAAACCTGGGCTCAATCCCTTCCTCGCCCACATGAATCGCTGAGCTCATAGAACACACCTGCATCCTACTACTCAGCTCATTATTAAACAGGATTGGGAAACAGCTGGGGCGGGAATGAGCTCGCAGGAGATGCAGTTCTTGGTGTGACCACCAGGCAGCAGACCCAGACAGCAAGTTGTGGCTTCCAGGAGCAGCAAGCTGCTTTTGCCAAAACAGCTTTAATTTTAAAAAAAGAAAAAAAAAAAGGAGGAGAATCTGAAATTGAAAATAAATAAATAAAAAATAATAATAAATAAATAAATAAATAAATAAAACTTGGGATGAATACCTCATGTGCAGAGACTACACTCCACCCTGGGCACGGGGCACTGCTCTGGCAGAAGAGCTGCTCCTAGCCAAATGGGTTTCTGGAAAGGCAGGAGGCCGGAGAATCCAAGGCAGGAAGGGTGTGAGTCCAAGGGGCTCAGCCACAGCAGCTCCAGCAGCCACAGTGCGTGCACTTGATGATGCGGCCCACTTCCAGCTTGCTTTTTTTCTTTTTAAAATGTGAACCACAGTGTTTTTTTATCCCTTCCTTCCTTCCTAGTACCTCGTGGGGACCCCTAGCTCTGTCTTGTAGCTCATCCTTGGCACCTGCTGCCTGTTTCACAGAAGGTCAAACACTGCACGTGCTCATACAGGCACTGCCAGTGTCTCAGGCCCAGGTCAGTCATCATGTCCCTTCCTTGGCCCTGGATTTGAGGGCTAGTACACGAGGCCAAGTTGGGTGCTGCCAGTGCTAGTATGCCCGGGCAGATGCAACAGCCAGCATCCTGTAGCTTCCACCCAAGACCAGGAGAGCAGGCCAGAGTTCATGATACCCCGGAAGAGGTGGCAATCTTGGAGTCCTCCAGTGGGGACTTCTCTGCGTGTGGGGTTGGTGCTTGCGGGGTGGCCCCCTGCACAACGTTCAGCATCTTAGAACAAAAGGGTTTGTTTAGAAGCAGGCTGCACTGTCCACTTAACCGGTCATTCTCCACGAGCGAGCTGCTCCAGGCAAGTAGCAGTGCTGACTGGCCCCACTGTGTGCGCGTGAGCCAGGGCTCCTACCTGTAGACCCCCCTGAAAGGCCCCATGTCAAAGTCACCATCAGAATGAAACTCGGCTGGCTGTCTGTAGGCACAGCTTGTCTTCCCACGTGGGTGGTGGCCCAGGCCCTGTAAGCACAGAGGATGTGGAAGTGCAGTACAAAATCCTACTCAAGGTCCACACCCTCTGAGTCTACGGTATCTTCTGAGGCTCCAGCCTCTGTCCCTCACACAATGGCCCTGCCCGATGTGTAAACAGTTACACGTCAGGGCCTCCAGGCCAGCAGGAGCCATTCCCAAGCCTGTCTTCCATAAGGACCAGCTTCCCAGGGCTTGGGTGATGGTCGCAGCAGGGGCTGAGTGACCAGCAGCAGGGGCTGAGTGACCAGCAGCAGGCTCAGACCTCAGTTCTACAGGCACTTGGTCCAGGGCCAGCCACAGACTCCAATGCAGCAGCACCTTCACACTTCATGAATACTCAACCAAGTAGCTACTGTGGAAGGTGGCACTTCTGGGTGACAGTCCCCAATGGTAGTTCTGATGCCGTTGTGTGTTCTGTTCAAGCACTTTTGGGGTGGTCTGGCCATGACCCTGGGGGGATCCACATTCAAATTCAACAAGAGTGAGATGAGGGGAGAGTCTGTGTCCAGCTGTACGCAGAGGCCCCTGCTCAATGGGCACAGTCAGGTACTTCCCAGAGCCCCTCACTGTGCCAGGCTCGCCCACCGATCTCCATCAGGGCCTGCACCACAGCATCCACATCCAGGATGCTCTTCTTGCTTGTGGCCAGCAGTGATTCCTTGGACTCTCCGACTGCCCACACCTCCATCTTGTCAAACCGAAAGTCCTCCTGGGCAGACAGCTGTGGGCTGTTGCACGTGGTACACATCGGCTTGGCTTTGCTGTGTCCCTTCCCAAATTCATCATCCACCCACAGCCCAAAGTAGTGGTGCTGCCCTCCCATGCCCAGTCCATTGGGAATGGTCTGCTGGCTGTGGTTCAGGTACATTTAGTGGTTGATGTAGTTGCTGTGTGTGTACACTGACATGCTGGGGCAGATGGAGAACAGAAAGCACCTGTTGTCCTCTTGGAATTGAGGCTTCACCTCCCAGAAGCAAGAGGCAAAGCCACCTAACATGTGGCCATTGTGGTCCTCAAGTAGGGTCACACAGGGCCCTTGCTGTGCCATGCGCCCACACAGCTGCGAGAAGCTGTGCCCATGGAGCTGGGAGAAGAGCAGCTTCCAGCAGCACTGCTGCTCCCTGGGCAGGCACAATTGATGTAGATGACCAATAGGACATCCAGCACGCTCTCAAAATCCTGCCCTAGGTCCAAGATGTGCTTGGGCTCCAGCCTGGCCAGAGGGAGAGGTGAGCTCCGGAGGAGAAAGCCACTGTGGATGACCATGCTCAGAAATGTGGCCATGTGGGGGACCCTGGACACCCAGTCCTCCAGCATGGTGTGGTCGCAGTCACGGTCCAGCCACTTGAGGACTCAGGAACACTTCACCACCTGGAAGTTTCATCTCCGATAGTAGCTGCGTGGCCAGCGCCTGCACCCTGGGCGATGCAGTTATGGGGGTCTCGGCCAACCAGCCTCTCAGCTCGTGCCTGTGGGCCAGCACATGTGCCACAGAGCCCACCAAGTCCTCTGTGAACCTTTGTACTTCTTGGGCTCTCACTGGGTCACCTATCTTGGAGATCATTTTCAGAATTGGGGTGCTCCTCTCGGTGGTGTCTAACTTCAACAGGTGTGACATGGCCAGCAAGAACTGCTCCTGGGAGACGCTGTCACTGGGCACCTGTGCCTTTCTGGCCAGGTAATCCCCCCGCATGCCATCATACAGCCTGGCCACCATGTGTACGGGCAGTGCTTACCCAAGGTAGCTCTTCAGTGCCTGCAAGGAGAAGGCTTGGGCTGGGACACCTGTGTGGCCGCCTTAGCCTGCCGTCAGAGCATCGAACAACTTGTCAATTTCAGCCTGCTCCTCAGGAAGGAACCGTGGGCAGAACCTTGGCCCACATGGCTCCTGCTGTTGCCCATCTGGGCTCTGGTGCAGCGGGATCCTCTCGGGGTTTAGCATTCCTCAGGATATCTTTCACAGTTTGGCACAGTGACATCAGACATGGCAATGAAGGGGACAAGAAAGGCAGCAAGGGAGGGTTCGTCCATGTCACTCCAGCCCAAATGGCCTGGAGGAAACTACTACCTCAGCCCCTGGTACAGGAGCCCGAGGGGTAGCTTGCACCGAAGCAGTCCAGGTCCTCAGCCCCGGAGTCCCTGGGGTGTGTGCTCACAGCCTAGGCTGGCACTCAAACCTGCTGCCTGGGGAAAGCACCCCAGGCCAGGCTGCCCCTGCAGCCGCAGCCCCCAGTAAGACACCCAGTAGTGCTTGGTGTGTGTGTGTGTGTGTGAGTGAGTGTGTGAGTGTGTGAGTGAGTGAAAGCGCGAGTGAGCGAACAAGTGAGTGTATTGGGGGCACTCGGCCTGTTGTTGTCCCCTCCACCCTTCCCCTTCCCATCGCAGCTGCAGTGGCCACTCCCTGGGCCATAGGAAATGAGCGATAACGATGACATCAAGGTGGAGAGCGAGGAAGAGCAGCTGAGGTTTCAATCTGTGGCTGACAAATGGGCTCATCATAATGAGCTGGAACGGAAACGTAGGGACTACATCAAGGACAGCTTCCACAGCCTGTGGGACTTGGCCTCGTCCCTCCAGGGAGAGAAGGCATCCAGGGCCCAAATCCTATACAAAGCCACAGAGTATATCCAGTCTATGCAAAGGTAAAACTACACACACCAGCAGGACATCGACGAGCTCAAGCGGCAGAATGCTCTTGTGGAGCAGCAAGTCTGTGCACTGGAGAAGGTGAGGTCAAGTGCCCAACTGCAGACCAACTACCCCTCCTCAGACAGCAGCCTCTACACCAACGCCAAGGACAGCACCATCTCTGCCTTTAATGGAGGCTCAGACTCCAGTTCTGAGTTGGAGTCCACAGAGACCCCACAGTTCCACAGGACCACATGAATGTCAGGACAGAGGCCGCCTGCCCTGGGGTGATCCCCTGTCCCTACCCTGTCAGTCCCCCAGCTGCCCAGCTCACTCTAACCTCAGAACAAGGGGGCCAACAGCCCGGACAGGGCCAGGGACAGGTGCTGGAGGAAGAGGACAGCACACCTCTGGCTGCAGCCAGCTTGGTGGGCCAACTAAAACCACGCATATTCTTACTTTTAAAACCTTTGGTCATTCTCACAGGGTGAACACGGGACGGGATGGCTGGGGCAGCTCTTTGGTCCTGGGGGCTCTGGCTGGCAGAGCCAGGTTGTTTAAAAGCCAGCTTCCTGGGGTCCGTGCAGTAGGTGTGGATTGCATGAAGGTGTGAAGAGAACAGCTCCCCTGCTTGGCAGAGCCTGGGGGAGCTTCCAGCTATTTGGCAGGGCCCAGCAGATTTCTCTATGACCACCTTGATGTGGTCTCACCCCCATTTGCATGGATACTCAAGCACCCCACTAAGAATTCTGTGATCTATTGAGGCATTGTTGCTTGCTCCCATGAGATGGCTTTGGCAACTAATGTGAGCTTGAGAGTTAATGTCACTGATGTCTTGGTGAGTGGGCCTTTGACAATTTACATGCAGAAGCACAATTAAACCCATGCCATTTCTGGATACCTTATTAGATATTTAACCATTGCCTCAGAATCTGGCCCAGCCATGTAGCACTCCTTCTGGGAAAGGGCTTGATAAATATTCTAAATATTAATGTAAGTGATGGGAGTGAGAGCTAAAACTGCTATGGCAAAAATATAGTTACTGTTGAGGACGGCCCAATGCTTTGGGACCCTGCACCCATGCAGGAGACCCGGAAGAGTCTCCTGGCTTCAGACCGGCATAGTATCGGCCGTTGCATTCACTTGGGGAGTGAATCATTGGACGGAAGATCTTCCTCTCTGTCTCTCCTCTCTGTATATCTGCCTTTCCAATAAAATAATAATAATAATAATAAATATAGTCTGGAGAACACTCAAACAACTCGGAATCTACATGCCATATGACCCAGCAATAGCACTCCTAGGAATATATCCAAAACACCTGTTTTACGACAAACCAACATGCATCCCCATGTTCATTGCAGCACAATCAGTAATTGCAAAAACATGGAAGCAACCGAAATGCCCATCAATAGAAGATTGGATAAGAAAGCTTTGGTTCATCTACTCCATGGAATACTACTCAGCTGTTAAAAAAAACAAAATGCAGTTCTTTGTGGCTAAATGGGCACAACTGGAAACTATAATGCTAAGGGAAATGAGTGAATCCCAAAAGATTAGATACCACATGTTCGCCTTGATTTAACCTGTAATTTATTGTTTGGTTGTTTGTTATTTTTTGAACGTGTCATTGATGCTGTCTCAACCCAGATGTTTCGAAGAATGGAACTTGCATTATTTTTAACATATTGTTTACCCAATACTATGTCAATTAATTCCATAATGTTGTATATTGATACTGAGGCCTTGTTGGGGCTTTTAACCGACCGGATCTTTACTCTGTTAGACCTATCTTCAGACCATAGAAGGTCTCCCCAGGAGGCCACTGAACTTATCTGGACAATAAGACGCTGAACTTTATGCTAGGCATGTGTTTGCAAGCAATGAATCTCAACTGAACTTGAACTATGGTTATGCAGCAAGGTGGAGGAATCCACCATGGGGGGAGGGGTATGGGGAGGGGTGGGGGGAATCCCCAGCACCTATAAAACTGTACTACACAATACAGTGTAAGCAACAATAAAAAAAAATAAATAAATATAGCTACTGTGACCTAAAGGTTAGCCTATCCTTGCAACTCTTTAGAGCATAGAAAATGTAGCTGTTTTAGCCACTTGCATAATTTTTTAACTAGAGGAAATATAGGGTGATTCTATTAACATCATAGAGATATACTTTTGGTTATTATTTGATTGTTTATGAAGTTGTAGAGCCTGCAGTTGTAGGGGGATTTAATGTTTGAAACTTTTTGTCTTAGATCCTTATGTTTTTTTCTTTTCTCTTTTCTTTTTTCTCTTATCCCATTAAGTGATAGATAAAGTTGTGAAAATAAAAATGTAGTAGGAATGTTTTACTGATTAGTAGGTAACCTTCTGTGCCTTGGCCTTGGAGTTCTGACTGTCACCTAATGGCTACTTCTGAAGAATGAATAATGGCTTACTTTAAGGAAACTGATTATAGTAACTTACAGAATTATGTTTAAGAGCACCTGGTTGACCATGAAGTAAAAATTAATTGAACATCTGTGCATGCTGTCTTAGTTCTAAAGTTAAAGATAAAAAATCAAATGTTTGTGCAGAGACTTGGGATGTGTCTAAGTAAATAAAAAGGACAGCTTCTTCTTGAGCAAGGAGGCAGCAAGAAGGCACCAAGTGACAGTGTCTGTGTCTTTCTTTATCGCCAACTCCACACACCTTCCTGAGCTCCGAACTCAGCTGGAGCGGGACTCTGGCAAGTGGCGCCCAACTTGAGGGCTCTATGAAGGTAAGTCTTTTTTTATTCTTTGCGGCGTGGATAGGACTTCACCTAGGGTGCTGCAGGCCCCCTGACAGAAGGTCAGGTTAGCAGGGGTGAATAGTCAGAACATTTCTTGAGAAGTTTTGTACCCTCTGTGCTTAAAAATGGGCCAGAGTGATTTTCATGAAAAAAAGTTTATATGCTGATATTATTAAGCATACCTTACAGAAGAAGGACATTAAAGTTAGCAAGAAGCAATTATTAGAATTTTTACAATTTGTACAAAAGGTTAGCCCGTGGTTTCTTGAGCAGGGCACTTTAGACTTATACACATGGGATCAGGTAGGAAATGACATGAAAAGGTGGTATTGGAATAATGGACTAGTGGGCATGCCATCCTCTGCATATGCCATTTGGAATGTTTTACGGCAGGCACTAGATGTGGGACCTGAGCCTTATCCTGTACCTTTAGCTCAGCGGAGAGAACATATTCCCCTTCTTGATCCTGAGAAGGGAGGCTTAGGCCTTAGTTATGTTTCAATGGAAGTGTCCTTCATGAAAATAATGTAAAACTTCATAAAACTTATCAGGAAGGTTTAACAGATGAGGAAGAAGATCTTTTTTTTTTTAAGTTTTATTTATTTGATTTAATTGTTATTAACATTGTATTATGTGATACAGTTTTATAGGCACTGGGATTCCCTCCACCCCTCCCACAACTCTCCCCCCATAGTGGATTCCTCCACCTTGCTGCATAACCACTGTTCAAGTTCAGTTGAGATTCCTTCATTGCAAGCATATACCTAGCATGAAGTCCAGCATCTTATTGTCCAGATAAGTATAGTGGCTTCTTGGGGAGACCTTCTCTGGTCTGAAGGTAGAGCTAACAGAGTAAAGTTCCGGTCAGTTAAAAGCCCCAACAAAACAGCAGCATCAATATACAATGTCATGGAACTAATTGACATAGTATTGAGTAAACAATATGTTAAAAATAGTGCAAGTTCAATTCTTCAAAACCAGAAATATTTAGATCAGGAGTTAGGGATAGTAAAAGGGGGCAAATGGCTGAATTACAAGACAAAAGGTCTGCTGTTGATAAACCTTTAAGGTATTCTATTAAGCCTTGTGAGCTCTTTCCAGCTAGACCAGATCCAGCAAATATTAGCTTTAGAGGAGCAATACAGCAGGCGCATAAGGAAGGTGATTTTTTTCTGTTTTCCTGTTGTCTATGAATGGATGAGCCTGAATGGGAACCGTTGCTTCATAAGCTTGTTAAAGAACTAAAGCATGCTGTCTCTGACTACAGGCCAAACTCCCCGTACACAATGACAATGGTGGAGGGACTAGCAGCAAAGTGGATGACACCATAGGATTGGTTTCAGATTGCCAAGGCTTGCCTCACAGGAGGAAATGTTCTTCTGTGAAAGATGGAATATGAGGAACTAGCAAAAGCAGAAGTAAAGTCTCATGGATCTGTGAGGCGTAGCAAACCTTCTCTTTCCTTAGACACGCTTTTAGGACAGGGCACTCATCTTGGCATTTCAGAACAACTCACTCTGGCTAAGGAGACATTGCAGCTTATCTCCTCCCTGGCATTAGGAGCATGGAGACATCTGCCATCTCCAGATCAAAAGTCTTCAGACTTTGTAAATGTTAAGCAGAAGCCTGAGGAGCCTTTTGAAGATTTTGTAGCTCAACTTACTGAAGCAGTGAGCAGGACAGTAATTAACAATACAGCTACAGATCTTATAGTTAAAAAGCTAGCTTTTGAAAATGCTACTCCAACTTGCCAGACCTTAATTCAACCAGTAAGAAGAACAGGAAAGTTATCAGACTATGTTTGAGCTTGTGCTGAGGTAATTCCATCTTACATGCAAGGGTTAACTATCGCTGTGGCTCTTCAAGGTCAAACTGCCACTCAGATTTTAAAGAACATTAGACATAATCAAGTAAATAAAAAAAGAAACAATTGCTATTCATGTGGTGGAGTAGGGCATTTCAGCCACAGCTGTCCTGCCAAAAACTCATCCCAAAATTTCAAGCAGGAAAAAACGTATGTGGACACTGCTAAACCCAATTTAAATATTCCTTGCACTGTGTGTCCGTGGTGTGAGAAGGGATTTCATTGGCTAAAAGCTTGTAGGTCTAAATTCCACAAGAATGGAACAGTTCTATTGCCTCAAAGTCAATCTAAATTGAGTAATCAGCATGTACAGGGTGAGATGCAAGGAAATAGGAGGCAGGCACAGTCCCAGGTCCCCAAAAATATGAAGACATGTATGAATATTGTCTCTAAAGTGTACAAAACTAAACTGATGGCTGCTACTTTAAGTACTGAGTTACAGCAAAATAGACATAAGTGTTTTAATTGTGACAAATTGGGACATGTATGGAAAGATTGTAGTAAACCGAACACCCAAAAATCTGGAGAACAAGCTATAGGTTATGTAAAGGCCTGTCATAACATAGGGTCTTTGAAACATCCTTCCCACCTTGCAAGGTTTAAAACCACTGCTATTCAG